ATGTATAGATTGCTTTCCAATTGTTGAACTGAGCAACCAATTCTATTTATAGTTTAGTTTACCTTGACACTAAAACAACTCACAATCTAGTTTCGTTATTGAAATTGTGTAGTCACTAACAATCAATTTGTTGAAATTGAAATATTTAGTTCATCTTTATTAGGCAACATTGTTGTCTGTTTTCCGATGACAAGATTTTGAGAACGTTTTATATATTTGTTTCTAGAGTGGTAGTTGAAGTAAGTATGATATCAGGAGTGCAAGAAACGCTACATCACCGGTTAACACTAATTAAAGTGGTATGGTCTAAATGTAACTGACAATTGTTCTGTATTGGATTTACTCTTCCTTAAAATTGTTTTTTTAACCTGATTTCAGGATATCTAAACCTTCCTATAATGTGACGTTCCTAAGTGGTTACCAATATAATTCTAAAGTTGATTTCAAATACTATATATATTAATATCACTCTACGTTGATAACTTCCGGTGCTTTCTTTCATTCCGTTTAAATTAATCTCATCAACTTAAGTTTTCATGGCTCTTATCAATTTACGATAACATTGGTTTAAAACATTCAATCTTTGACGATATTCAGCTTAATGGTTTCTCTGATCTAATATAACTTTTATTAAATGACAATAGTCAGTGAAATTTTGTATACTTAATAAAAGATTATAATCAACTGAATTGTCATGCAAATATTCTACACTGAACTATGATGGTAACTTGATAAAAATCACTTTGAAACAATTATCATTTCATGACTGCAAAGCTTTAAATGTTGTTAAACTATCGAGTTGAATAGAACTAGATTCGAAGTTAATTATTAGTTTAAAGGTAGGAAACCATTTTAAATACAAAATTATACGGATGATTGAAATGATTGTTGAAAATACATGAAATAAATGATAAAGACTATAATTATGTACGGACTACAGTTACGTAGATAGTTTAGATTCGAATAACTTCAGTTACAACGAAACTATGACTCATAACCTTTGTACTCTTAATTAAGAGTTAACTATTCACAGTATTATTCCTAAATTCGTATGTGACTATGAGGACATATACATACAGACAGATTTTTTATTGATGTCCATTTCGAAAACAATAACAGATTGAAAAAGTCGAATTTATCATTTCTGAAATATTCTTGAGATAATTCTATAAAATCTTATTAAGATGGAAGTTACTTTGTTGTGCTTTAATAACTACGACAATTCAACACGGTCTCGAATGAAAGATCACCACATAAAAAAGAAAATGTTCGGTTATCTCATTAAATGTTAACTTGTTAATTTTTTTTTGATATAGCTCGCTAACAGTTTACCTCAAATATATGATTCACACTGAATAAACTTTTAATCAACCGATATCATCCAAACTATCAGAGTACTTCCATTTCATTTTAAATTTGGTACATTTCATTTGTTTATATTGGAACTAAGAAATTAAATCCTTTTTAGTTTCGTTAGTCTAAAGTTTTGACTAACAAGTTGCAACTTCAAGGAATATCACTTAAATATTCCTTTTAAAGTATGTAGAAGATTTACAAATTCGCTACAATTACTTGTAAATGAGTATGTGATTTCTTAATTTCGTTTGATAGTTATACATCCATTGATTTGGGAAAGAATTTAAATAAATTCAAACTTCACATTCACCAATAAACATCCCATCACGTCTAAACATTTTGAATTCAGTAAGAAAATGTTGTGTATTAATAACTAGAATAAGATCATAGAGATATTGAACAGTATTTTTTTTTATAGAGAATGTAGTTATAATTAACTACAGAGAAAATACAGAATAGTACTTGTCATTCTGCCGAAAGTTAAGTAAAATAAAATTCCGTTTCTGTTGACCGTGTCAAAATTCCGTCCTGAATAAGTAGTTTATTTTAGAAAATGTTTATCTGATTTACTGTCATTGTAATATCAGTGATTTCGACGCTCATCAAGACCACTAACATAAGTAAAGTTATTATAACAAATGGGTTTAATGGGAGATTATTTAAGTGTTCCTATTTTTTTTTACAAAATATCCGACTGTTTAATATGTATAGTAGAACTTTTCAGTCATGTTGAGTTAATCTAAAATAATAGACAGTCTTTTTTGCGATTGGATGTTTTATTTGTATAACTTTCATTATTTTACTTGACAACAGTTCTTAATTAAATAAGTGCTGATGATTTTCAAAATGAAAGTAACACAGAATAGCTTCGAAAGTGTTCTACTGGAGACAAAAAACATAGTTGTACCCATAAAAGGAGTCTCAGTAAGTCTCAGTTATATTTTGCGTAAGAGTGTGAAGTCCGTCATATACTTGTAAAGATTTCATGCAAAATTTCGGATAGTTTACTAATCTTTCTTGTGACATAAGTTATTGTTTGATGCTTGTTTAATTTGAGTAAGAACATGAATGACACCTGAAAATACGTTTAAATATACCAGGGGCTGATATGCATTGACAAAGACCTTACTTGAACAAGACATCTGAAGAATCTGCATTGTTTTTCTTTGCTTCCAATCACAAATTAATGTTACTTATCAATTTACGTAACTGTTATATGAAATTTACTTGGTAAAATATTACGAAAGATGCAATTTATTGATTATGTTGATATTTTTAACATTTCGCAATCTCGCAAACACTTTTGGCAAGCTTTATCCAGGATACAAGTTAAATAATTAATGATATAAACAACTGAAAAAAGAATAAAAGTGAGTTTATTATACACGTTTGTATAATAGCAGATGCGGGACTGACATTTCCATTCCTAATTCATTTTATTGCTTTTAATATTAACCTGAGGCTAATTCTTTATTCTTATAAATGCACCTGACCATTATTCTGAACATCTGCTTTCTTGCTATACTAGTATGTTTTTTTTTAAATACGAAGAGTTTGGTTACTTTTATCAATTCTTTCACTAATTAATTTTTTTCTATTAGCTCTTTAAACTTTCTACAAGATTATTTACTTTTATGCTTCGTTCGCTTTTATTTAATTTTCATCATAAATGCTTGTTAACTGAATTCATTATTATATCCCAGCAATAATGATCCGTTGGTTATCTCATGTGTGAAACCACTTATCCATGCATCGGATAAGTCTTCTCCCCTAATGAAACAAGTTTTTCTCACTGATTTACTTTCTCATCTCATGTGACATTGTTAGATTACGCAAGGCAATATTTGTTTTCAAATGCAGTTGATAGTTTCCAATACATCTTAGAAAAATCAATTATATGCTTGTCATCCGTTTCAATTGAAGCACAATAAGGTGTTTATAAGGTTCAAGAACATCAGAACAGGTGGCTAGAGCACTGTCAAGAACTCTTGAGTGGACCAACCCCACCGAACCCACCCCGGACATCGAAGCAGCACACACAGGCATTCCTATTAATGTCAGTCCATCGGAGATAGAAGAAATCAGCATGGGTATCAGACAAATGAAAAGCGAAAAAGCAGCAAGACCTGACAATAAACCAGCCGAAATACTAGAGCCAGACACAGAAGCAATAGCGAACATGCTCCACGTTCTATTCAGGAGGATTTGGGAGGAAGAACAAGAACCTCTGGCAGATTGTAAAGAAGGATATCTCATGAAGATACCAAAGGGGGGAAATGTGAGCAAGTGTGAAAACTATAGAGGCATCGCACCACTCTCAATACCTGGAGATGTTTTCAACAGTGTTGGTTAATCTGACGAAAGATTGAATGGACGCTCAGCTTCGAGATCAGCAGTCTGGATTCCGTGAGGATCGGTCGTGTAGAGAGTAAGTCGCGACACTACGGATTATCGTCGAACAATAAACTGAATGGAACTCGTCACTATATATGAAGTTGTTTGACTATGAGATGTGTGATAGTGTGAAAAGGAGAACCTTATGGAACATTCCTCGACATTATGGAGTAACTATGAAGATCGTCAACATCATCCGGAATTCATTCGACAGACTACAGTGTGAAGTTGTGCATGTAGAACAGCTGTGAGACACATTGCAAGTGAAAACTGGAGTCCGATAAGACTACATACTCTCATTCTTTCTCTTTTTTCTGGTGGTTAACTGGATTATCAGGATTTCCACACATTGCGTTGAGAATTGTAAGCAGACATGAAAAGAATGAGGAGCAAGTGGAAATAAGTGGAAATGATTTCCGAGAACAGAGTTGCTTTGAGAATGCTGATGGGCGGTATATGCTCTTTCACGAGGGGTAAGTGGCACAAATTTGACAATTGACTAAGTACTTGTAGATCCATAATCGATGGGATTTATTGACACTATTCACAAAGTGTTGAAACATTCTATACGAATCTTCAATATCAAATAGAATCCGAGGCTAAGATTACTTGTTTGATCATGCGTAAGAGAAATGTAAGTTGTATTATGTATGTTCTAAAATATCTCAGTTTTCTACTGGATTGATGAAGGATAAAAAATAAATACTAAACTTTCAGGTCAATCTTTTAAAGCATTTAAAGTGTTTCTGCCTAATATGATACGTAGAATCGAGAGAAATATTAATTTATTTTTACAGTGTTAAATGAACTTGAATAAAGGTTAAATAAAATTATGTTCAGATAACCTTTTCATAAAATATTGGCTTTTCCCCATTGCCATTTACTTACTACAAATTTGATACTTGGAATGATAAACAGTGAAATTAAATAATTACTTTTTATGAATTATCTGTTAGAAAGCTAATATAAAATAAATTTCTACAACTGTTGTAATTAAATAAATTTATGAATGGTAACTAATTTAAAACTATAAGGAAATAAATTTAATTGACTTTATGCAATAGGGTCGACCCATTTAATCGGATTTTTCTATTGGGAAATGATATTATGATACCAGATGTCTATAAACTATTCTTTTTTTATAGTACATTCCTGTTATTAAATTATCTTTTATTTTACATAACATCTACTCCATTATGATCGTCAATATTATTAATTATTTATATTCCCTCACATCGAATTCTCCTTAGTTTTTAGGCTAAATCGTCATGCTTAGTTTGGTGGATTGTGAGATTCTTCAGTATTAATGGAGTTCTCTTCTTCAGCACATCTTCATAAGAATATTGATATTGAAATTTTTACTTTAAAAAACTCATATTCTGAGGACGGATCATCTGCAATCCAAACTGCTGTTTCTTTACTATCATGTGAAGAGAAGATGAATATAATCAGGTGATTTACTAACGACTGAGACATTTAAGTGTTCTTGTGAACTAAACAAAAAATGAATGTTATTTTGTTTAATCTAAATGATTAAAAATAGTCATCACCGATTCCAAGTAAATCATTTTGTCCCTTTTTTTAAATTTTTATCTCATTTATTTTATTGCAACAGGACTTTATTTGCTTGCTTGAAATTACTACATGACCCGATCTACTTTTTATGTTTCCAAATTGATAGATTGTGTTGTTTGTTCTATATTGTTTTTATCGTACACATAAATATAAGGAAGTATACATTTGTATACGAACTCATTAATAAACAGGCAGAAACACAAACATACATAAAAACTATTTCATTTCGCTCTATTCTGTTAATTTCTGCTTATTTATTACAATATACAGAGAAAATTGAAGAAATTTGAGATTTTGTTCTACATAGGTGAATTTAATTAATAAACTCATCTTTTATTCCACTACTTTTATTTAAGCAATTTTATTTCATTTCTCATTTTGTTTGTTTTTTTTTCTCCAGTTTACGTTATTTGTTTTTTGCTTCTTTGTTGATTATTAGGCCAGAAATAATAAATAAATAAATAACTCTTCCTGAACTCTTAGAAATCATATTTAGAAGATTGGACCATTTTCCTTTCTATACCTGTTCATTATATTGTCCCTATTGATAATTTAAAGGGATATATAGAGTAAGTTGAATAAATAAAAATTAGGGATTATTGATTACAATTAATAATCTGACACTAAAGATTATGATGCAAACGATTAAATATGAATTTAATCAGTCGTTCGAGATAATCTCAGCATCTGACTAGTTCAGTTTCCGTCAGGTTAAATTATGTTTTATTTTTGGTTGTATGTACGTTAAATGTTCTTTAAAATGGGATATTATTATTATTATTATTATTATAAAGTTGGACAAACAAAATATTTTGTAAGCACATTCACTAGTACTAATAACTACGGTTTTACAACTTGGGAATTACATCAAATAGAGTTAATTATTTAAGTTACAGATATTTTGAAAATGTTGTCTATCATAATGAATACCAGATAGTAAATAGCCAGAAAATAGAAATGTTAATGGGGGCTACGTTTGTGTTAGAAGTACAGTTTTTGAAATGTGAAATGCTGCAAGCTTAATATTGACAAATACATATGAAAATCCCAATGAACTTACTTTAAAGCCCAATAAAAGTACTGAGTTACATTATCGAGTCAAAATATACGGAGAGTAAAAGCTTTATTGAATTATCAATCTGCTTGTCTTCGTGAATATGATTACACTAAATAAACAGTGTAATAACCATTGTCACATTGTCTTATTTTTTATACTGAACAGATCCTACTATTTCATTTATTCATAGGGTCAATTATAAAACAAACAATCCAATTTATTTACAGAGTAAAATGAACCCATCATCCTATTTCACAGTTCCTCATCAGCTGCATACAACCTAGAACTACAATTATTAATATGATTTTTAACAAATGTTTAGAATAATTTAGATTGTGAAGTTTAGATAAATGTTCAAAACGTAACCTGAATAGTAATAATAATAATAATAATAGAGATACAACGTGTATAGATCAACTTAGTTAAGATCGGTGTGTATTTAAATTCGGTGAAATTATTATTCAGAGGTTATGTAAAGAGCATGAGACTAATAAGTGATTGTGTAATCGCGCAACATGATAAAATAAACAATTATGTGAACATTACGCAAAAGATGAATAACAGAAGACAAAATAAGCACAACGATTAAAGGTTGGGGACAGAGTAGAAAACAAGATTAAAAGTTAAAATTAGTAAGGGTTATTGGATGAATGCCTCATCACCATGGCAGAGAAAGGCTAATCCCCCTTTCGTTTGTATACATAGGTCAGGTCAGAGACGCTTTATAGCGATTGTCTCTACCACGGATTAAGATTGATGCTTTTACATGTTAATTATTTTGAATGCATTACTTACATTTACTTTCTGTCCACTATCCAAAAGGTGTCTAGCAATTGCACTTGTAAAGACTTTTACTCCCTTTCAGCCATAGGTTTTTAGGAATGTATGAAGAAAATTTTATGGAGGCTCTTTACTGTCTTTTCTTTCCACTTTCTGCCATCGGTAGATGTAAATTCATAAATCCAACTGAATGTGACATCGCAAGGGTATTGATCTACCTTTGAATTGTACAATGAACACTTGGTGTTGTATGGCGAAACCAATCGAGCAGCAAGGAAGCTTGTTTCAGTGCCACCTTTACTCTCCTATCGATTCTAACTGAAATCTCATCTTTTGAATGGAAAGCGGATGAAAATTTTTTTTCAAATAGTTGGTTTTTATCATCCTTGAGATATTCTTTGCTATATTTCGTTATAATAATTTCTCAACTCATTTTGAGGCAAAGGAATTCATTCACATTGTTCGTAAATAATGTTATTAGTTTCTTCTAACGGTATACTCGCAGATAATGAACACACATCAAAAGATACCACGAATTTATCTGATATATTCATTTCCTTGGAAAACTGAAATGCGCCTTTTAAAATTAATTGGCCGCCAATGGTACTATGAATTGCTTCTAACAATTCGGTTCACCGCCAAGCCAACATATGATATGCTGAGTTCACCATAAACACTATAAATCTTAACATGATGTTGGATTTGTGCATGTCGAACGACTACACAATCATTTATTAGTCTCATTTTCTTTACATAACCTCTGAATAATAATTTCACCGAATTTAAATACACACCAATCTTAACTAAGTTGATCTATACACGTTGTATCTCTATTATTATTATTATTATTATTACTATTCAGGTTACGTTTTGAACATTTATCTAACTTCACAATCTAAATTATTCTAAACATTTGTTAAAAATCATATTAATAATTGTAGTTCTAGGTTGTATGCAGCTGATGAGAAACTGAAATAGGATGATGGGTTCATTTTACTCTGTATAACTTGTTGTTCTTGCTCTGTTTGAGCTTATCATAGGATCAGGTTGTATGAAAACACTCTTATTTTAAGGGTGATAAAATTCGGATTCAGGACGTCGTGTTAATTTTCTTTAATCATCTTTTATGAATATTATTATTTTCTACATAATTCTAGAAACACGTATTTAAATAACTTTTTTTACAGTTCACATATTTTGTCTTTGCTTCATTTACTGATATTCCGACTGGCTGCGGTAGAGCGTATTGGATATCTGATTGTTAAATGTCGAAAATTATTTAAAACCCTTAAGGCTTCCAGATCTTTCACAGTCTACTAGGAGTAACGTAATTATAGCGAATCCATTGATGATGGCTGAATTTAGTTAATATGACACGCTTTATGTATGAATCTGTTAACCTATTCAACTGGATTATTGAAGTACACTTAGTTTTTTCTGTTGTACTATGACTATGACAAAGAAGACTTCGCAGAACATTATCTCTTAAATTACGTTAACAAAACTCAAGACAATTGAAATTATTTCCTTCGTTGCATACGTTTTAGTTAGAATGTACATTCTTATGGTAAATACACTTCGTTTTATAATTTTCCTGCGAACTAATAGAAAAGAACACACCCATTTCTCAACTCTTCGGTGACAGTATCTATGGTATTTGCACAATTTTACGAGTGAGCTAACGTTTACAATTGTTTTTGGGCGAAAACAAATAATCTCAGTAAACGAAGTAGGGTGTAATTAGACATACCGCTGAATTTATTGACAAACAAATGAAGAACAACATTACGATCGTTCAATTATTTTGTTATGTACTATGATTGGGTGTCTTTTGAATAACAACGCATACACATACTAGGATTCTTGATCTATGTTGTAGCTAATTTATGCTTTGATAAATTCACTTAATTGAAAGCTACTTTTAGTCTTAGCTACTCCTGTAGCTCTTCTAGGGTTATTGCCGGTCTCAAGCCCGGATAAAGGAGAAGGATTCGGCATGGAGTCAGCAACCCCATACAGCACAAATCAACCTTGCTAAAACAACAAAACTGCACTTAAACCTTGCTAAAAAGCACTAGCCAAAATAAACAAATTAAACTATTTAAACTCTGTCTTCCGAATTCAAGGATCTTCATTCAGAAGAATTATGACGACTCATGATGAAGGCCGAGATTCTTCGGTAGGCATTCGGCCGTGAAGTTGTGCATGTAGGACAGCTGTGAGACACATTGCAAGTGAAAACTGGAGTCCGATAAGACTGCATACTCTCGTTCTTTCTCTTTTTTCTGGTGATTAATTGGATTATCAGGATTTCCAAACATTGGATTGAGAATTGTAAGCAGACATGAAAAAAAAGAATAGCAAGTGGAAATAAATGGAAATGATTTCCGAGAACAGAACTGGTTTGAGAATACTGTTGGGCAGTCGATGCTCCTTCACGAGGGCAACATGTGTTAGTAAGTAATTCTTAGTTTTGTAATATCAAGACTGAATTGTATGATACACACCATAGCCTAAAGTCACAAACGATCATGAAATGAGTATGACATGCACAAAATGGCATTCGATCATTTGGACAAATTTCACATTTAATTACTCAAGTCAATACCACGAACCATATTTAATATCTGTTTAGGGCAGAATTATTCGACAATTTCTCAGACCGAACCAATGTGTAAGCTAGAACATGCTTCAAAAGCGAGCGATGTGGCTTTCGATTATGCCCTCTACAATTATATAGTGGACAGACATTTCAACAGCATGATGATTTGTGCACCCGTCATAGCGATGTGAATAAATAAAATGCCATAATGAAGAGCGATAATTCAGCATTCAGTGTATTTCAAAACAAAAAGGCAAAAATCATGGAATAACTTACAATATTAAAGAAAGTTTGTGAATTCGTAATGTCTAAATGTAAAATAGTTGCAGAAGACATGAGTAAAATGAGGTAAATTTGTGGTTTGTGAAATCATTCATTAGTTCTATTCTTGTCATAGGAGGAACGAGGGTGTTGTATAAGTGTTAGATGGTTGGAGATAGTCGACAAGAAAACTTGCACCTGTGATTTCTTGCTATCTAACACCCGTTATCCAAGTTGGCGTGTAATCCTGAGGGGATTAGTGCCCCCTAGTGGATTCGATCCCATGTCACCCAGCTTCTCAATCTGTGGTGTTATCACTTCGCTATTCAGGCTGCAGCCAGGATTCACCAACGGACACCAATTTCCCAAAGACTTAAACTAGTGGTGACATTGCAACTTGATCGATAGGATTCGGCTAGCACTAAAAGGGATTAGACAAGCACGACACTGAGTACTACTCAATGATCAATCATTTATACCACATTTTTCTTAATATCAACAATTGTTGTATCAATCCATTTAGGTTTCGTTATATGTGAAATAGCAACCTGAATATTTTTGTCAAAAGATAAGAGAATACTATAGGTGACCGGAAATACTTCAACATTCACAGTGAACACTCATACCAACTAGCATAACTTTCATTAAAGACTCATGAACTATAAAACTGCTTCTCTGGTGGCTTATAACTATCACTTTATAGAATTTATTCGTCGAAGTT